CGAGTAGGGAATCGACTACATCAGTGAAATGCCTCGAAATTGATGTGCCGTTGAGTCTACAGAACATGCGTCGAAGGCTCCGTGGATCCAGGGAACACCCGACGTGCTTTCTGCAGATTCGGCGGAACGATAATTCTGGGGTAAGTAAATTCTGTAGTCGATCCCCATCCCCCATCTGACAACCAACGCCCATGGCGCCGCCCCAGAACTCCACCCCGAGAAGTCTGGAGGTCGCTGAGGTATGGGTGCCGGCGCGGGTGCCAGGGGAACTTTTTTCCTCGGACAGAATGAGTGAAACTCCAGACATTTCAGCCTGCCGCACGATAGGAACATCTGCTATAACCGAGGGGGCAAACATCGAGTAAAGAGCCCTGGGGGCAAACATTCGTACTGCCCGAGTGCCGTACTTCTCGAGGCTTCCTAGATGGGGTTGGAGTAGATGGGGTCGGAGGATCGCGCCGCATCGCCGATACATCGGCGCAGAGTGTCGCAGCCCCGCTGAGGAGGGGAGGGAAAGGGAGGAGGAGAGGTGGGTGCCAGCGGGAGGGGCCGCCTCCCGCCCAAGGCTGGAGCCGCCCAGCACCACGTCCTGGAGGAGCACCTCCATGCGCGGGAGGCTGTCGTACAGCGTCGTCGCCTTGATGGGGCCGCTGGGGCCGTCGGTGCTCTTGTACTGGCACTTCTGGCAGGGCCACCTCGACATCTGGGTGGAGGCGGTCTTACACTCCTCGGGGGCAGAATTGCCCCGCAACCAAGGCCACTGCATAGTTATATGTTTATATATCTGACATCACGTATATGTACACATTTACATATATATAGTGTCTGTGCACATACACATGTACATGTCTGTATGTGCTTCTATATGTATGTGTGTAATGAGCACCGGCAGGCCACCTAGTAGAGCCGAAACCTGGGTCAGCGGAGGTAGGGGATGGGGAGAATCGATGGGGTGGTCGGCTCCACATGGCCGACTCCAGGATCTGATTACACACTTGGCGGCAGAAGCCCCTGAACGGCCTTCAAATAGTCCGACACCGTGCCTGTGGCACGTTTTCTGCGTGAAAGAATGCCAAAGGCTGCCTGGCAGGGTTTCTGTAGTCTTCGACGGGACCCCCCCGCACCCCAGGTCACACCCGTCTGGCTGCATCGCCCCTACTATTGAGGGGTCCTGGAGGGCCATGGCGCCTCCATGACGGCCCAGGAAGCCCACCCAGGCCGCCCAAGAGGCTTCCAAGACGGTCCAAGATCGCTCCAAGACTCCCAAGGTGGCCCCGAGACGGCCCAAGAGGCTCAAAGATGGCGCAAGAGGCTCAAAGATGGCCCAAAAGGCTTCCAAGACTGCCCAAGAAGCCTCCAAAGGGCCTCTCAAGAGAGACCCAAGAGGCAAAAATCTCCGATGCTCCTTGGGACTTTGAAAGATTTTGGCGTTCTGGCCCTTGGCTTTCCGACGCTCCTGGACGGCCCAAGAGGCCCCCAAGACCACCCCAACACGGCCCAGGAGGCCTCCAAGAGGACCCCAAGGCAGCCTCAGAGCGCCCCATAACGGCCCAAGAAGCGCCCAAGGGGGCTCCAAGACGGCCTCCAAAAGGGGCCCAAGCGAGGGAGCACGAACCGAAAATCCAAGCCCTCCGCCCCTAGAGGACCCCAGGACGCCCCTGGAGGCGCCCAGGAGGTCCCAAGAGGCCCCCATGATGCTCCCGAGAGGCCCAAAATAGGCACCGATGGCCTCGTCGAGCGCCCCGTGGGCGCGTGGGGCGAAACGCACTTGAGGCCCCGCCACAGGCGGGGTCGGAACCTGAACATGAGCCCTGACTCGGGGGGGAACGAAAGGGTAGGATAGCAAAGGGTAGGGTAGAGAATCGGCTCACGTAGCTGGTCTGGCGCCTCCTGGCGCCATGAGGCGCGCATGCGAAGAAAATCGCCTGGCAGCGGCATGGAAACCAGCTGCATGCAGCAGATGTCGTAACGCCTCCTTTCGTAACCCTGCCCTGTCGTCCGGCCCGACGGACGACCCTGGGAGCGGGAGAGGAAGGACGAGGCGAGGGGGATCGAGGCATCGAGCGCGAGGCGACGGCAGCACATACACTGGCCCTGAAGGGGAGGGGAGAGGAGAGGAGCGAGAGGAGAGGGGGAGGAGCAGGGGGAGGAAGCCCCGCTGGCGCAGCTGACCCCTGATGGCTTGCGGGCTGCAACAACTCGCGCATCGGGCAGCCGTTCGGGACGATCCTGGCATCTCCAGATCGCTCTCGGCGAAGCGAGCCGGAAGGAAACCACCCTGGGTCCCGAAAGCCTCTGAAAGACTGGGAACCCTACCCTTTTCGAAACTGCTGCGTCTGGCCCCCACTTGAGCAGGGGCCGACCGTCCTGGCATTCCTGTAGGCCTACCACGAAATATTTTAGAACCCAAGAAGGTTCTAATCAAAACAATGTTCTTAGAACATAAACCCGATGTGTTAAACCAAGACGGTCCCAGTCAGAAATATTATGAGAATATTTGTTGCCAACCTCAACAGGCTCGTAGAAAATTCTTTGGTGGGCCTATAGGCCAGCCAGGACGCCTCGCCACTGCTTGACGCATTGGCGCTAACCTCCCGTTGGGTTCGCTGCGGGCTCCTTGTTCGCCGCGTCGCCCGGCCAGTCCAGGCAACCGCGCAGGACCACCTTGCCCTCGAAGCTCGCGTTGAGCTGCACCCCCGCCACCGTCGACAGCCCCGCCTCTGGAGAATGAGGGGACCGAAGGACACAAATAGAGACACATATGCAAATCCAAAAATTTCCAATATTTTCCAACATTTTCTGGGTTTTCGTCTTTCTCCCACTTCCCAGAGTTTCCCATAGTTTCCTGGGAATCGACGATTGATTGCGTCTGTGCTTGTTTCCCTCGAACGCGTTTCTTTACTTTCGGCGATAACGGGCGTCATGGGGGGGGGCGGGGGGGGGTATGACGTAACGCCCCCCCCGCCGTGTGGCTCCGGCATCACAGCCGCGCCCGCGCACACGACGACTATGAGCGACGAGCGACCAGCGACGAGCGACGAGTGACAACGATGACGACGACGACGACGACGACAACGACGACGACGACGACGACGACGACGAGGGGGGATAAGTGAAAATGGTAGCGCTTCCGCGTGCACCACAGCGCCTGCGCGCACGAGCCACGACCAGGGGCCACGAGCCACGACCAGTTCAGCACCATCTGCGTGCACCAACGTGCCTGTGCGACCGCAAGGCCTGCGTGCACCTCTGACCCCTATGGGGTCCTGACGGGGAAAAATGCAAGAAAATCGTAGGGGCGACCGATATTATCACATTCAATATGTGACATGAAGGAGGAGGAGGAGGACGAGGAGGAGAGGGAGGAGAAAGAGGAAGAGTTTTCACTGGGGACACAAAATTACAATTTCGGATCCCTATGCGGATCCCAGTGCGGGTCCCTATGCGAATCCCAATGCGGATCCCTAGGCGGATCCCTACGCGGACCCCTGCGCGGATCTTTATGCGGATGCGTATGCGGATGCCAATGCGCGTTGCCATGCGAATCCCTATTCGAATCCCTATGCGGATCCTTACGCGGATCCCCATGCGGATCCCTATGCGGATGCGCATGAGGATCCTTATGCGGATCCCCTTGAGATTCCCAATGCGGGCCAGATTCCTATGCGGACGCCTCTGCGGATCCCGATGCGCACGGCGACAATGCTCGGAGCGCACTGGTGAGGGGGGGGGGGCAAGGGCGTCACGTCATGGGGGGAGGGGGGGGCGGGGACTATAACGTTTGTTATGCCCCAAGCTATAATGAAGGGGCCCTGGGACACAAATAAGTACACACAAATAACTGGATTCCACAGATTCTCCCATATGTTCTGGGTGTCTGTCTTCCCCCCCACTTCCCACAGTTTCCCATATTATCCTGGGAATCGACGATTAATTGTGTCGGTGTGTTTTTGATCCTTCCTGGTGTAAAGAGACACGCTCCTCCTGAAAGAAGCCCCGACGTCCAGCCCCTCGAGAAAAGCGAGGCGGCCGGTCGGACGCGCCCGCCTGCCCCCTGGATGCTGGCTTCGCGCCCTGGGACGGTCAAACTGGGATTAGGTCGGGCCTGTCCCCCTACAGGGGGCTTTTGGACGAAATCTAAAACATAGTCAAAAAATACTCCACAAATGCCCAAAGATACTCCCAAAATTGTCCCCTGACTTTTTTAAACCTATTTTTGAATATTCGTTCCTCCAGTAAAGGGACAGGCCCGACTTCCAAATGGGAAGAAAGAGGTTCCCTGGAATAGAACCAGAAAAAGCGCCATAAGCATAAACTTTTGGCGCTCCGCGCGAATCTCTTAGATCTGCGCTGGGCCCCCCCAGACGACGCCTCCGGCGCCCCAGGGGGGTCAGCGCAGATCCAAGAAATCCGCGCGGAGCGCCAAAGTTTCTGTTTATGGCGTCTTTCCTTCGAAGACATCTGGCCCCTCGAGAAAACCGAGGCGGCCGGTCTGACGCAGCCGCTTGCCCATGGATGGCCAGTCTCGGGCCCCGGGACTGTCGAACCAGGACGAAACCGGGGGCGGCCAAGAGGGGGGCGTCCAAGAGGGGAGGCGCAAATCATGGCCGGCGGCATGTGCGCGGCCCAGGTGGGGTGCCACGGACGCGTTGAAACCAGAAGAGGCGCCATGAAATATGGGGAGATATCATGGCCCCCGCCATGAGATCCACCCCCCCTAGTCATCACCCCCTCGTAGCCGCCCCCGACGAAGGAAGAGTCCCCTGACAGTGGTTGATGGGGTCCCACACATCGAACAGCAACGGGCAGCGACGGAGGTCTGGCAAAACGGCATGCAGCCCAAGCATGGCCACGAGAGCACGGGGGCAAGCACACGAGCCCCTGCGCCGAAAACTGGGGGCCAGTGCAGGTGCACAGAACGGAGAACACCCCAAGCCGGGAAGCCCAGGCACGAAGAGCGAGGAAGTCTATACATGTCCACTGCTCCCTGGCCGCGCCCATCCTGCACCGCAGCTGTGTATACGCCACGCCCTCCTGGCTTGACCAGGAGGGCGTACACACAGCTGCTGGGTTCAGGACGGACCTTGCCACGGAGCAGTGGAGATGTATAGATTTCGTCGCCCGAGCACGAAGAGCACGAGCGCAGCCCCCCCAAGAGTTACAGTGCTTCTGCACCCTCGTGTCAGACGTAAGCACAAATGGAGGCCGCACAACAGGGGGCCCGAAGGAGGGGGTCGGAGAATCGATCAGCGTCGCCGGCTCGTCGGCGATGCATCGGCGATGCATCGGCGAAGTCGGGACGGAACAGCAACAAAACACACAAAATCTGGATGGCGCCGCCAATGCGTCGCGATCCACCGACCCTATCCACTCGGACCTTATTTGGGCGGCCTGCACTCGAGAAGACCAATAAAAGGCATAAGCAGGTCTGGGCGGATTTCTTGTGTCAGCACTGGGGCCCCCTGCCGCGCCGACACCAAATCATCGCGCGGACCTCCCAAAGCTTCTGCGTGGCATGAGGATTTTGAAGAACAGGCACGTGAGCAGCTTCATGCAGGTCGCATCATGCACCGTGCGACCGCAGCACTTGTCCTCGAACTCTTGACGAACGGCCCCATGCCGCGAAAGCTCGAGCATTGGAAACAAAATGCCGACCGTCGCAAATCTCGGCTCATCTCGTCCAACGATTGTTGTCATCAAGCAGCCTCGTTGTCCACGTCGATAATGCCGTCCGTGGCGCCGGGGAGGTCGCCCGCCAGGGGGTTCGAAGCGCACGGCCAGCCCGCCACGCCACCCACGGCGTCGCAATACTGCTCGATGTGCTCCGTCGTCATCGTATGGCTGTCCTCCTCGTCGGGCCGTGTGCTCTTCGGGCGAGGGGGCCCAGCTCACTCATGTCCTCTCCTCCTGGTGTTCCTACGAGCGTTCCCCTCTTCCAGCCACCCCTCAACGTAGGCCTCCTCCTCCTGGTCCTCCTCCTCCTCCTCCTCCGTGTCGTTTCCTTGTAGATCGTTCCTCCCTGCCGCACCCCCAGACGTGTCCGTAGGCCTGACGCTTCACCGAAGGATCCCTCACCATTTAAGATCCTGAAGCTTGCACATTATGACAGCTTCAAGGATAGAGGGTGGGCCGTTTCCAAAATGAAGCGCTCGCCTTAACGTCGCGCACGTTCGCTTTAAAGTTTGCAGCAGCTGTAAGGATGGAGGCTGGCCCATTTCAAAATTGAGCTCTCGCCCTCGCCTTAGCACAGCGCGCATTCGTCTCAGAAGTCCTCAACAAAATGTAGGGTGGTCTGGACGCAACAGTCGCGTGTATCCGCGGTGTTAAGTCCCAGAATGGTGTTCTAACGCGACTCAAGATTGTCAGGACGCAACAGTCCTGTTGATTCGCGGCGCTGATGGCCCAGGAATGGTGCTTCGCTGCGACTTATGATTCCCGAACAAATTGAAAGTGAGGGGTGCCTGAATCCTATCAAAATTATCTGGTAACCTGTTGCTTGTTTGTTTATGTCTGGTCCTCCCGAGTTAGTGCCTGATGGAGCGGCATCGTTGTTTTGAATTATCCGAACGGTTATCGTTCAATGGCCACTTCCTGCAATGAAAGGTACTACTGTAGGGACCTATGAAGAAGGAACTTGAGGACAGGGTATATTACAGCATCGTTGACGCGTCGTGGGTTTATATTGGTCCTCCTCCTCCTCCTCCTCTTCCTCCTCCACTTCATCCTCCTCCTCCTCCTCCTCCCCGCTCCTCATCATGATCCTCCTTCCCACACTCCTCTGCCCTCCTCCTCTTCCCCTCCCCCCCCACTCCCTCCCTCCCTCCCACCCCTCTCTTTCCTCCCCGCGGCCTTGCACCTGGCCCCGCCGGCGCAGGAATCAGAGGTGGATCGGTTATGGGCCGTGACGCCAGCTGTGGGCCTGCTGGCGGCCAAACTGCTACCGTCTTGTCCGAGGCTCGACATGGGGCCCGATGTACAGTCGGGGCGTGGGCCGAAGGAACCCCAAATAAGGAACGAGGCCCCTCTCTCCATAAGTTAAGCTTAGATGTCCCATCGAAACCCTAAGCAACACCTAAGGCCTACTGCAAAACATCTAAGGAACACTGAGCCCCTCCCAAACGAAAAGGGTTCCTTCTTCAACGCCCCGACTACAGCGTGAGCCCGTGCCGCAACCTCCTCGGCCTGACGGGGCGTTTCTGGCAATGCCCTCCGTGTTCGCGTGACTCACACAAGGCACCGGCGCCCCCTGCGCCACCTGGCTGGGCCGATGCTCCCAGGCCCTTACTGGGTGCAGCCCGCCAGGCTTCGAGAGCTTGGGCGCCGTTGCGTCGTCACTGCAGGCCAGCCCTCACAGGATCTGCGCGGAGCAGGCTCGGCAGAGGGCTCCATCCCCAACGGCCTGGGGTCAAAGCAGGCCTCTCCACGATCTGCCCGATGTATGGCCGTGCTTCCACCTCTGGGGGCCGCGCCCTCCCTAAGGGGTGTGTTGCGGGCAGTTGGGTGCCTTTCACGGAAACCCCGCGACAAAATCATCATCGTCATCATCATCATCATCATCATCATCATCATCATCAGCAGCATCATCATCAGCATCAGCATCAGCATCAGCATCAGCATCATCATCATCAGCATCATCAGCAGCATCATCATCAGCATCATCATCACCAGCATCATCATGATGGTCATCATCATCAGCATCATCATAAGAATCAGCATCATCATCAGCATCATCATCATCACCAGTATAATCAACAGTACTATCATCCTCATCACCAGCATCACTCACACATCATCCACATCATCCACATCCAAATCATGGTCATCGTTTTTTTTCAACGCTACCACCACCAGCCTCATCATCACCAGCAGCATCAACCTCACCATCACAACCACCGACATCATCAGCATCCACATACATGTCAGCAACATCGTAATCATAAGCATAACGGCACAATGAATAGGAGTAGTGATAAAAAGAATCATCCTCATCATCATCATCATCATCATCAGCAGCAGCAGCAGCATCAGCGTCATCTGCATCATCAGCTGCATCGTCGACATCGACAACCTCATCTTCTTCGTGATCATCACGCCGTTGTCCTCGCGGACGCCACCGTCCGTCAGCTTCCTTATCATCAGCAGCGTCATCATCAGCATCAGCATCAGCATCAGCATCATCATCAGTATCATCTTCGTCATCAGTATCGTCAGCATCAGCAGCAGCATCTTCAGAAGCATCATCACCACTATCACCATTACCACTATCATGATGATGATAATCATGACCACCACCACCAGCCTCGTCAGCATCAACAAAAATCATCGTCATAGGCTTCCTGAAATCTGGTCATCCTCGAATTCATCGTCTTCGGCATCATTATCAGCATCATCATCATCATCATCATCATCATCATCATCATCATCAGCATCATCATCATCATCATCATCATCATCATCATCATCATCATCATCATCAACATCAACATCATCATCAGCATCATCATCACCGTCACCGTCATCATCGCCACCATCATTAGCAGCATCAGAAACATCGCTATCATCATCAGCATCATCGTAACCACCATCATCATTAGCATCACCATAATCATCATGAATGTCCTTGTTATCACCGCGGTTATCATAAGCAGTGTCAGCATCATCCTCATCATCAGCATCAGCACCATCACCAGCATCATTACCAGCATCATCAGCATCAGCATCAACATCCTAGTAGTCAACATCACCATAATCAGCATGATTATCATCATCGTCAGCATCATCATTACTATCGTCGTCGTAGACTTATCATCACTAGCGTCACCACCATTACCGTCACCATCCTTACTCTCACCACCATCATCCGCAGCATCGCCGTCATTATCATCCTCAGCCTCCAGAGCTCCTGCTGGTGCCAAACCACGCTCGCAGCCTTCCACGTAACGCACACCATCACGTACACGGGCTGCGAGGCGTAATTGTCCTCGTTGGGGTCCATAGAAGCCGTGTCCGAGGAGTCCGTGGTATCAGTCTCGAAAGGCGGGCGGGTGCAATTGTCCGTGATGTACTGGTACACGGGTGCCTCTGGATTGACGACGACGAAGGGAAAAGTGTTGTGGCCGTTTGCTCCAAGTCGAATATGCTTCTACTAAGGAAACCATGTGGTTGGACTGAGCGAGAGAGCCGCATGTGGACTGAACACCCCCGTCTGCTAGCCCCCAGTGGCACCTTGCTAGCGATGCTAGAAGAGAAGAGAAGAAAGGAAAAGGGAAGAGGAGGATGACGACTACAACAAGGTATAGAAGGGCCTCATCGGCGTCCGTGCTAGGAAAATAAGGCATCGGTGTCGAATCCAACCGGTCGGAAGCGATCCACCACTTCTCGAAATCATTGGAGGCGATCAACACCGGGTAGGCCGTGTGCTCGAAGTTTGGCCTCAGTCGTTCTCTGGATCGGTGCTTTCTATGCCCGAGCTTGGTCATGGGGCAGTACATGGGACATGGTCTCGGCTCTGCAAGCTCACTGGCTCGCTGCAGGGAGCAGCCTGACTAGATTTGAGCATGCTCTACATGATCCCAACGCGCCTTCCAGCACTGTCCCTCTGACAAATTCCAGCTGCCAAGCGTTGTCACGCCTTCGACGCTGCGGTCGAGGCAGCTCGATAACTACAAACCCTTACTACCCTTCTGCCTCCTCCAGCGGAGAGCACCGACACTACAAGCCTACTCAGGAACGAGAGAGGCACTGTCACATGCGTCGGACGGCCGCATCCTACCCAGCGAGCATCCACCCGTGACTGACGACGCTCTCACCGACTACGAATGCGCCTTTCCTTACGACCTTGGCTCCTCTTCTCCGCGGCCTGGCTATCCACGGTCCGCCGCTCGACTTTACTACGTATCGCCCCGATTTGGGACGGGCCACAAGTCCGCCCAGGGCCACGCACACCCGGTCAGCCGAAGTTGAGGTCGGGCATGTCCTCCGACAATCGGATTTTGGAAGAAAAACTAACTACAATCAACAAATACTCAAACATTGTCGGAGGAGCCAAAAAATCGCCCAATGACTATTTGTAACTACTCTTGGCTATTCCTCATGTAAAAGCCGACCTAAGCCCAGGGCCACGCACACCCAGGCAGCTTATGAGCGCAGGGGCCTTGGCTCTCCAACCAGGGCGTGCGCCCAAATTTTGGCCCTTGGCCGTGCACCGAAGGCCGCATCTGTGCTGGGGTACGGTGGGCCCGTGTCGTGACGACTTGCGCGCTGGTTTCCGACACCGCGTGGATCGCTCGACTCGTGCGGGTGGTCATGGGGGGGGATCCAAGTGGGGGATGGGCAAAAAGGAAAAGGCCCTAGAGGGGCACTTGTGGACCCGTTTGGGCCCATGCTGGCCCCGAAAAAAGGGCCCCTTTCACGGCCTTGTTTGTTCACCCCCCCCACTTGGGTCACCCCCCCAATATCGGAGGTGCGCAAACATGAATCACGGGAGGTGCCCTCCCCAAAATGCGGTTGGTGCCGCCTCGCTCGGCGGCGGGCATCCGCAATCCCCCATGGAGGCGGGACCCGTCGCGAATCCACGCCCCCTTTGACCCTTGATTGCGATCGCAAGACAGTACCACCCGCCCGATCAACATTGAACGACCGAGGCTCTCCAGCAGCGAAAATCGCTCGATGTCGGAGGATCATGGGCTTAGGTCGCGGATGCCTTCCTGCAGGCTGGTTTTGAACGATTAGAAAGTAATCACAAATTAACCTGGCGAAAAACCAACCATATGCAGCTGCGGGCGCCGCAATCGTGAGTATAAACTTCGGCGGGGTTTTCCTATGGGGGGTGCGAAACGTGTGATGGCGTGTGGGACATTCGGTGGAGTTCCCTATAGAGCCTTCGGCGTGGTTGCCTCTGCCCGCGATCTATTCGATGGCGCAGAGTAGCGAGAAAAGCAAGCCGCTTAGACCGTCCTGCAAGGGATTTCTCTTTTTGTCCCCCCTTTTTAGCCCGCGCGCTCCTATGTCCAAGGCTGCGCGCGCAGCGCAGCACGGGGTCCCCACGACGCGCGCCAGTTGCCCCGAAAGGGTCCCAGCGACGCGCGCGGGTCGTCAGCTGCGCGGAGCAAGGAGAGCCTGCTGGCTTGCTGATAGCGGGCAAGGCTCTGGCCGGTGGGCAGGGCGACGACTGGCGAGCGAGGCGCTGGGCTGAGCGCAGCACGGAGTTCCCGCGATGCTGTTCAACACGGACTTCTCTCGAAGACAAGTAATTGTCGCCCCCCCCCCTCCCTCCCTGCCCGGCGCCGCCACGCGGACCTTCCCACTGGGGCCTTCGGTGAAGCTCCCCACGGGGCCACGAAACGTGCGAGGGGGCGCTGAAGTGGGAGCTGGCTCGCCATGCAGCATTCGGCCGGGGAGGGGTGTGCCGCATCGGGCGCGGGCACACCATGCGGACCCTGCCACTGGAGCCTTCGGTGGAGCTCCCTATGGGGCCACGAAACGTGTGAGGGTGTGCCGCGTCGGGCGCGGGCACGCCATGCGGACCCCGACGTTGGGGTCTTCGGCGGAACTCCCTGTGGGGCTACGAAACGTGTGACGGGTGTGCCGCATCGGGCGCGGGTACGCCATGCGGACCCTGCCGCTGGAGCCTTCGGTGATGGGGCCACGAAACGTGTGAGTCGTGTGCCGAATGGGGCGCGGGTGCGCAATGTGGATCCTGCCGTTGGGGCCCTCGGTGGAACTCCGTGTGGTCACGAAACGTGTGAGGGGTGTGCCTAATCGGGCGCGGGTACGCCATGTGGACCCTTCCGTCTGGGCCTTCGGTGGAGCTCCCTATGGGGCCACGAAACGTGTGCAGGGTGTGCCGAATCGGGTGCGGGTACGCCATGTGGACCCTGCCGTTGGGGCATTCGGTGGAGCTCCCTATGGGGTCACGAAACGTGTGAGGGGTGTGACGAATCGAGCGCGGGTACGCCATGTGGACCCTGCCGTTGGGACCCTCGGTGGAGCCCCCTGCGGCCACGAAACGTGTGACGGGTGAACCGAATCGGGCGCGGTTACGCCATGTGGACCCTGCCGCTGGACCTTCGCTGGAGCTCCCGATGGGGCAGTGAAGCGTGTGATGGGTGTGCCGAAATGGTGAGGAGGGAGGAGAGGGCAGCGGGAGGTGAGGTGAGGGACGCGGTAGCCTACTGCGCGATCGTGGCCCACAGCGCCTGAGGAGGTAAGAAAGTGTGTGTGTGTGTGTGTTGTGTGTGTGGTGTGTGTGTGTTGTGTGTGTGTTGTGTGTGTTGTGTGTTTGTTGTGTGTGTGTTGTGTGTGTGTTGTGTGTGTGTTGTGTGTGTGTGTTGTGTGTGTGCGTGTGCGTGTGCGTGTGCGTGTGCGTGTGCGTGTGCGTGTGCGTGTGCGTGTGCGTGTGCGTGTGCGTGTGCGTGTGCGTGTGCGCGTGTGCGTGCGCGTGTGCGCATGCGTGTGCGTGTGCGTGGGCGTGTGCGTGTGCGTGTGCGTGTGCGTGTGCGTGTGCGTGTGCGTGTGCGTGTGCGTGTGCGTGTGCGTGTGCGTGTGCGTGTGCGTGTGCGTGTGCGTGTGCGTGTGCGTGTGCGTGTGCGTGTGCGTG